TGACTCGACGGCACATAACAACAACATCTATAAAATGGGAATGATGACATTTCCATCAGAGGTTGATGTTCTCCCAGAAGAACTTTGGAGTCTATAGGAGAAAGGAAGGGCCCAGCCTGGCGAGAGGGCCAGAAGCCTGGGAAGATAGGTGACAGGGGCAGGAGGAAGGGGAGAGTGAGGAAGAGGAGGAAGGCCATTACTGTCTTGCTGGGTTGGTGACAACTTACCTCGCCAGGACTTTTCACTGGTTTCCTCTTAGTCCATTACACAGTGGTTTTGAATATTTTTTTGGGTATGTGTGTGTCACAACTTTCAGAGAGAACCTGATACGGACCTGCTCCCGACATGCACAAAGGGGCGTACAATCCAGGGGTGCAGGAGTCCCAAGCCCTGAGGCGTGGGGTGCTTGCTCTCTCCCCTCGCTCTTCACACCACTTCCTGTTTCCCCCTCACACCGTCCTCCCCAGTTTCCCCTGCCTCCCTCGGGTGAGTGGACCCTCCCCGCCCAGCCCCAGTGGGCAGCCCTTGCTCTCCCTTTTCCACCTTGCCTCAGGCTCCTGCTTACCTGGAAGGAGTGGAAGAGGTACCAGAAGGCCCAGGCGTTGATGACGTTGTAGTACATGGAGAGGAAGAAAGAGACCACCACGCTGGCAACGCCTGAGAGGAAGCAGAGGTCAACCTGAGGGCCACCCCCTTCCCTCCCATCTGCACCTGTGTGAGGTGGCCCAGCCCATTCTAGGCAGCTCCCAGGACGTGCCTGCAGGGACTAAGCTGGCCTTCTGACTGGCAAAATCTGTCAGAAACCTCACCAAGCTTTTGCAAGCATCTTGTAAGGGTTATTTCTCTTTTCCTAACCTCTTTGCCACCATCTGGAACATGAGGCCATTGATGTTTTTGACCCAGTACCAAGTGTTGTGCTACATACTTTACATGATTCTAGTCCTCACAGCAACGGGGATTTATTATTATTATTACTATTATTATTATTATTATTTACTATTCCTATTCCACAGAGGAGCAAATTGGGGCATGTCATCATTAATTTGCCCAAGCTCACTCAGGTAGTGAGTGGCAGAACTAGGATTCAAGGCCAATGCGGGAAGCACTTTGTCACTGCCAAGTGCCACCCTGATATTACAATTGCTCCTCCTTGGTGCAGGGAGCCCTGGTCATTTCTCTGGCCGTTCAAATCCACCAGCAGTTCTTTGGAGAAAGATGGGCAATCTCCTCTCATGTAATCGATAACTTTTTGGAAACCCACTGGAGAGTCAGCCAGGAGTCAGTCCTGACAGCAAGGGTGGGGGGGGCAGGTTTGGTGGGTTGGTTTGTTGTTGTTGTTGTTGTTGTTGTTTATTTACATTAACTCCTCAGCTCAGCTGATGTTGAGATGTTTGAGCCAAACGTGGCCCAGGGATGGTCTGGAGCAGGGGTGTGAGGAGGTGTGTCAGGAGTGGAGGGCACAGGGACCACACTGACTTCAGGAATCAAGGAAGGCAAGGTGTGGCTGGGGCTTAAGGGAGGGTGGCAGCCGGTGAGGGGTAAGCAGGTACCGACCCACAACCACCCTCCCGAGCCACCCACACTCCGGGTTTCTCCTGAGTCGTCTAGAATAGGCTGTGGTTGGAATGTTTACACCACAAGTGTCAGCTTCTCTCTTTTCCACCTGTATCGCAGAGAACTCATTGCTAAACATTGACCAGCACCCCACTGGCTGGCACCAACCTCGTGTGTCTTTCCCACTAAACGGCATGTGCTGCCTCTGAGGAGTCCTCTGGGAGTGCTGACAGGGGCAGACTGCGAAACCACGCCTGTGTGTCAAACAGCTGCTCCCTGGAGGGGGCAGGTTGTTTGGGGATGATCGATGTGGCCAAGTGCAAGAACACATTTCTCCAGTGGAAACACGTGTTCACGTGCACATTTATGTTTTACTGGCCCCGGAAATGTCACCTGCCTCCCTGCTTATTTCCTATCCTGGGGGAGGGAGGCTGAGCAGACCACGGCCACTGCTGGTCAAAGTTTCAGCGAAGTTGGCAGAGGGAGCCTGGACCCCGAGGGCTGTTTGGGCAGGTTAACCATCTCCCGGAGGTGCCCAGGGATACTGGAGAGAAGGAGGGGCACACCCCACTTACTATCCTGCTTGCATGCCCTAGGGATGAGAGACGCCCTTACCGCCTGTCACTGGTGCTATAGAGATGGAACAAACTCATCCCACACATGAATTCTGTAAGTCCACACCTGGTACATAATAAGTGCTCACTAAAAGAGAAAGATGGCCTTGGTACTAAGAAGCAGCGAGCAGTTATGTGAATTTCCAGAATGGTTGGTTTGGGTAAAGCCAGCTCCTTTGTGGAGATTTGCCTCTTACAGATGAGGTAATAGGGGTCCAGGGGACAGAAGTGATGTGGCTTTAGTTCCCCAGGGCTGACCCACCTCCCCATTTCATTGCTCGGTGCACACAGCCAGCCCGCCCCTTTTGGCTCATATTCTGTGCTCCCAGGCCCTCTGTCTGCCCCATCCTGCATTTTCTGCTGTCCTGTTCCAGTAGGTTTTTTCTGGTGAATTCCCACCCACGCCTCTGTACTGCCCAGGGAAGAGCTCTGGGGTCTCTGGGTCGGGGAGGACTCACCGACTCCACTGAGGTAGGGGCTGATGGCCCTCCAGGCCCCGATGCTGCCCTGCCGCATGCGCTGCCCCACGGCCAGTTCCAGGTAGAGGAGCGGCATGCCTTCCACAAAGAGCATAATGATGTAGGGGACCAGGAAGCTGCCTGTGGGGGTCCAAGCCGAGAGCCACTCCATCACTGAAGGTTCTTACTCCAGCCCCAGCCACCTTGCACGCTGAGCAGCTGTCCTTCCCATCCGCCCTGCCTCCCCTTCCCCATACCTCCCACTTGTCCGTTCATCGCCTGTCCTTCTTTCCACTCAATCCCTCTATTTGCACAGCTTTCCGTCATGACAGATCTTTTCTCTTTCCTCTCGTACATATCTCTACCCCGTTCATCCATCCATTTCTATTTGCACACACCATCATCCTGCCCTTTAATTTTTCTCATTATCCCTCAGTTCATTGGCTCATCCATACCCCCCCCCCCCCCAAGGATAGCGAGCCGTGTCTCTTGTTAAAATATTTAAATAACATATTTAAATTCCATCCTGGAGTGAATTTAATTCCTCTTCCATGAACCCCCCTATTTTGTCTTGTGTTTCAGCAAACAATGTCTTATCAGAGCCAAGGACCATTACCTTGTCAGATTACCTGCACCCAGACCTCTGCATCTGGCTGTCCCACCTCCACCAGGCCCCTCAGCCTCTCTGCTCGGCCTCACGCTGCCTCGCCCCCCACCCCAGGAGGTGGTCAGTAGGGGACCATTCTATTGAGCACTTAAGGGCGGATTACCCTGACCTGAGCTGGATGTGAGGTGAGAGGTTTGCATCCCTGCTCCCTGCCCTTGAAGGATCATCTGGGCAGAGGGGTCTCAGCTGCCTCTTACTTGTCCAGGGGCACAGACTAAACCTGTTATCCTAGTATCTTCAGAGATGAGTCAGGGTTTGGCATGTATGTGTGGGGAGGTAGAGGGTCCCCAGTAGCTAGGACCCAGGCTTCCACTTCCTTTTACACATACTTCGATTTGCTCCTGCTTGATACCGTGGCCTTCAGCCTAAATTTCCATTTGAATGGAGTCTATCAGGGTGGATAGAACCTGGCTAGTTCCTGAGGAGTCACGCATAGACAAGTGGTGGTGGCGGGAAGCTGGGGAGCATGACTACATCTGTGGAAACCCTCATCACCGTTAGACATAGGGACAGAGACAGGAGGCCCACGGTAAGGCCACCTGTGCTTACATCGCCCCCAGCAGATGGTGGACCCGCTGCTTCTCTTGTGGGCTCTGCCCCCTCCACCCTCTACCAGCTATTAGCCATCTCTCTCTTACTGCCCAGCTTCCTCACCTGTAGATCTGGAAAAGAAAAGAAAAAGGTGCAGTGGAAGAAGAGGGCGGGACTTCCGGTTGAAAGAAAACCCTGGCACCACAGCTGTGGGGTATCAATGACTCATTCTGGGACTCAGAATCCCTGGGCGGGACAAAGGGTTCATGTACTTGACTGCTAACCAAATAGTTGCAGGTTCGAGTCCTTTCAAAGGTGCCTTGGCAGAAAGACCCGGTGACCCCTTTCTGAAACATCAGCCACTGAAAACGTTACGGCGCACAGTTTTTCTCTGACACACCTGGAACTGTCCTGAGCTGGAGTTGCTTTGAAGGCAAATGTTATTTATTGACAAGAGACTTTGGCTCTGCAGTATTAAGAGACAACGATCACATAGACATGCTCTCATCAATAAATACATAGTATTTTCAAAAGCAAAATCCTTCTGAAGATTATCTAGAAAAGACTTGAACAGTACATTGACAGAGAGCTACCAGAAATACAGGCTGGGTTTAGAAGAGGTCCTGGCACTAGGGACATTATTGTCAATATCAGATGGATCTTGGCAGAAAGCAGAGAGTAGCAGAAGAATGGCTATCTGTTTTTATTGACCATGCAAAGGCGTTTGACTATGTGGCTCACAATAAATTGTGACTAACTTTGAGGAAAATGGGAATTTCTGAACACTTGATCATGCCTATATGAAACCTACATTTGGACCAAGAAGCAGTCCTCAGAATAGAGCAAGGAAGCACTGCATGGTTCAAAATCAGCAAAGGAGTGCATCAGGGATGCATCCTGTCTCCATGCCTTTTTGATCTGTATGCAGAACAGATCATTTACGAAACAGGGCTTTATGAGGAGGAATGTGGCATCAAGATTGGAGGAAGATTCATTAACAACCTACAATATGCAGATGACACAACTTTGCTTGCTGAAACTGAAGACGACCTGAAGAACTTTCTTGCAAAAGATCAAGGGCTGTAGTCTTCAATATGGATTGAAGCTCAACATCAAGAAGACAAAGATTCTCAGCACTGGGCCAATTGGCAGCACCATATTAGATGGAGAAGAGATTGAGGTTGCTAGTAATTACAGCTTGCTCGGATCCACAGTCAACACTCTTAACACCATCAGTCAGGAAATCAAAAGACGAATTGCATTGGGAAAATCTGCTCTCATGGACCTCTCCAGAGTGCTGAAGAGCAACGATGTCAGTCTAGATACAAAGGTGCGCCTAATCCAGGCCATGGTCTCCTAAATTACTTGTTATGCTTCAGAGAGTTGGACAATGACTAAGGAGGATAGAAGAAGAATAGATGCCTTCGAGTTGTGGTGCTGGAGAAGAGTCTTGAACACACAATGGACCACCAAGAAAACAAACAGGTCTGTCTTAGAGAGGGTGAAACCAAGTCTCTCCTTGGAGGTTAGGACTTTGAAGCTCCATCTCACTTACTTTGGGCACGTGGCCAGGAGAGATCAGTCCTTAGAGAAGGGCATCATGCTCGGAAAGGTGGATGGACAGCGAAGGAGAGGGAGACCCCGGATGAGATGGATCGATACAGTAACTGGGGCGATGGGGGTTGGTGTGTTTGAATTAGTGAGACTGGCTCAGGACAGGGAAGAGCTCAGAGCTGCTGTACATAGGGTCACTATACATCACAGGTGACTCAATGGCACATCAAACAATAACATACTATCACACGTTTGAAAGCAGAAGTGGCATCCATTTCCTAAATAACATGTCTCCGGAAACTCTATGAACTTTGATAAATGTTGATAGTTAGAGGGGTTTCAGGCCTTTTGTGCATAGAGGTGTTATGAGTTGTGCTCAACTCAAAGGCAACCAACAACAACATTTTCGAAAGTGTCTCTCCTGTAACCCATTTCCCCTAAATAGCTGTATCTCAGAAACACTCTCCTTCAGCCCTCGGTGTGCCTTGGCATCTCCCTTTAAATATGTCCATTGCATTTTGCTGGGAAAGTGAATCTAGAAGTCATTCACTCAATCCTTGGGCATTTACCTTGTTTCCAGATTTCCACCAGGAGAAATAAAGCTGTGAGACAGAACCTGGTTCACTTAGTTGAGAACTTCTTTGGGATAGGTATCCCAGAAGTAGGAGGACTGGGCCCCTATGGCAGGCAGAAACAGAGCTATTCCTGCAGTATCCCTTGCACATCTCTGGGAGGTGGGAAGAAGGCTAGCCGGATGATGTTTTATTTTGTTGATTGATTGGTCTTGTGGGTTCTCGGTGTGTAGGACTTTCTCTTCCTGGTTTCATTCTCCCTGGCTCATGTGTGGGTTGAGAACACACAATACCTTACCTTCTCCTCTCTGAATTCTGCTCTGAAGAGTCCTGTAAGCTGCACTCTCTTTCTGTCCCACTGAAATGTGTTAAAGCATTTACCAAGGAGCCCAAGAGTCCACCAGCATCAGGGGTCCCACCAGGAAACGATGACAATAAAGGCTGTGCTGACATGACTTGCCTTGACCAGCATTCAAATCCCCAGTGGTTATAAAATAATCTCATTTTCACCCAAGGTGTTAAATAGTAACCACATGAGGATTGCCAAGGTCGTGGAAGGTTTGTCAACTTGGCAGGTCCTGCCTGGCTGCCCACTGCCCATGGCAGAATGGAAATCCTAGTGCCCAGCTGGTCAGTTGGAGGGACTTTAGCCCCATCCGCCAATACTTTCCATCCCACAGTCCCAGCCTGCCCCCCGGTCATCAAATTAATACACAGTCTACGGGAGTTTGCCTGACTGTAATCTTTTCAATAAACGATGTCCAGAAAACTTTACTCTCCATCTCCAGAAAAGTATATCTTAGCCTATGCCCTGTATTTTAAAGATTAAATAGATCACACATACTTACATGTATAATTGTACACACTAAAACTTTTCAAAGAAAATATAAGAGAAACTCTTTCTGTCTTGGTCAGGTGAAGATTTCTGAAAGGCAACACCACAAGCATGATACGTAGAAGAAAACACTGATGAATTGAAAGTCACTAGACACGTGTGATCTGTTCAAGCAGGCATTAAGGGAATAAAACACCAAAGGAAAAAAAAAACTGGGAGGAAATATTTGCAAAACACGTATTTGGCAAAGACTTTGTATGTAGAGTACATCAAGGATAGGATGTAATAATGCAATAGTAAGAATGCAAAGGATATATTTTTGAAAAGTGCAAAATATTTCAACATATCACCAAATTGAGACATTTCACCAAAGAAGATTTACAAAAGGCAAACAAGCCCAAGAAAAGAAGATCAACATCAAGGTTATTAAAGCGATGGTTGTAGAGTTGAGTTGAGTCCAATTTATATCGGCCTCGTGGGTGGAGACTGCTCATCTTTCTCCTGGGGAGCGGCCGGAAGATTCGAACCAGAGGCTCTTGGTCACATCTATTGTTGTCAAGCGTCATTGAGTCAATTCCATGGGGAACCGCTCCATAGGGATTTCTTGGGTATAATCTTTACATAAGCAAATTTCCAGGTCTTTCTCCCTCAGGGCCAGTGGGTTATGCTTGAACTGCTAACCTTTCTGTTAGTAACTAAGTTTTTAACTGTTTGTATCACCAGGGCTCAAATCTAAAAATACTAAACTCATGCCCATCGAGTCTGTTTTGACCCACAGCACATCTCCATCAGGGTTCCAAGGCTGTTACTCTTGTGAGAAGTTGTTGTGTGTTAGCAAATTGGAACCAAGCCATAGTTGATTCTCCAGTGGGTATTCAGTGCCAGGAAATCTCACGGGAGGAGATTGCCCATCTTTCTCCTGTGGAGAAGCTGGTGGATTCGAATAGTGTGACTTTGAGATTATAGTGCAGTGTCTTACCAC